TATGTTGTTTGTATATCTGGAGTTTGTAACAAAAATAATTTCCCCCTGGGATTATTTAAGTATTTCTGATTCTGATTATTTTAGGTAAATGTTATAGTCATACATTTTATTGTATAAGTTACCATCTTGTATTACATTTGAACACATCACATTTAAAAACAAAAAACTAACCAAAACCTTTAAATTTAACTTTTTAATATACCTGCTTAAATTAACCTCTTGTGTTATGTTCATTATCTTTTTGTTTTTTTCTTTATGCATAGTTTTATTTTATTTTTTATATACAAAAAACACTTGTGAGACATGTTCCAAAATAAATTATAAAAAAAAAAAAAGTGCTCTGTGCTTCCCAATGGTGCTTCCTGTAGCTTTGCGGCTAACGTTAGCTAACGTTACATGTCGGTGGAACCAGCTGTATGCCATCATTGTTGGGTGAGTAAATAAAGTTTGACTCCATAAGGTATTCGCAATTAATCAATGTTATATTTTCGCTGAACAGTTTGATATCAATGCAGCTAGAAAGGCAAACGCGTTAGAAAAACAGCAGGCACCGGAACCGTCCCCATTTGGCCACCGTACCGTCGGTCTCCATTTTCAAAATGGCTAATCTTTATTGCGCACACCAGAGTTGTTCAGCATAGCAGTTTAAATAAAGAGACGGATCGTTTGAATTATTCAAGGTAAAGACATCCATTGACTGGAAGCATGTTGGATGGTCGTCAGGGTGTTTTTGTCCGCGTAAAACTGCTGCTGTATCCCAATAAGCTTCACTTAGTTAACATTATTAACCTTTTCTAGATTACATTAGCATCCATAGCTAAAGCTAATGACAGACAGCCTGCTAGAGCCGGCTAGCTTCTGTTGTATCTTGTAAACAATGACAGTGAGCATCAGTATCTGAAACCCGGGAGCTGACAGTCGGCTGCTCTTACAATGTGGACCACTTGCTGTGTAATGTAGCGAAGGCACAGTAGAAATTCCATTCAAATACAGACAGAATATACGGGCTTTGTTATGGTGCAGACACATAACTCAAAGCACATTAGATACTGGACACGTCTTATGAATATCTGTTACCCATTTATTAATTCGTCATATATTGTGTATGTATTGTGTGCAAAACGTGCTTATTATATTAGCACTGTTCCCATAATCTACTATACTCTAGAGTAAGGGGTATATGTGCATAAGTATATATGATAAAAGTGTAAGCCATTGCACTAGTGGATACTAATTACATGCTCAGTATTCTGGCTGCTTTCAGTACCACAAGTTTGTTGTGTTCTATAACCGCCAATGTGATGGGGGGGTTCTGTAAATCATTATAAAAAATAAACTTAGTATTGACTTAGTATTTCAAAATAATGATAAACTTTTTTTTAGATACTAAGTCATTATTTTCAGATGCTTAGTCAATATTTTGATAACGTTTCTCATTATAAAGACTTACAGAATGTTATTTCCCCATCACATTGGCGGAAATGGGCTTACATACATTTTATTTAAACTGTCAATTTCTGCATTAACTTTGGCATGACGTTCTCTCCGTACAAGAGAGGACGTACCATTCTTCCCCCTCCAGACTGAAACAACATGATGGAGCTACCCAACTACAGCAGCCAGCTGATGCAGCAGCTGTGGGCCCTGAGGAAGGAGGGCCACTTCTGTGACTGCACCATCCTGGTGGGAGACAGCCCTCACCGTGCACATAAACTGGTGCTGGCTGCCTCCAGCATGCTCTTCAGGTAGTGTGAGTGTGGGATTTGAAAGGTGATCTGCAGAGATTGGTTTGCAAATGGTTTTATTGAAGTGAAACGTGGTGGATTGGAATTCATATTCTGTTTCAGACCTAGGGTTGGGCAAAGTTAAAATTTTCCAACTGGCCACCGTCAGTCCAACAATTGGCGATTGGCAATTCAGCTTGGAGATGAGCGGCAAGTTTACTACATGCAACAAGCCCTAACAGCTTTAATGAAGAAAATAAACTTGTAAACTCTTGTTTGGAGCTTCTGAGAATCACCTTGTAACTGTATTCCCTGTTGTCAAACTGGTCGAAATAAACTCTTAATTCACTGCAGTTAGATGTGAATACGCTGGCTCTATGGCTGTTTTTGCTCGTTCGCTCGTCTGTCAGTGAGTGGCTCTCACTCTGCAGAGGCATTAAATGAGCAAAATAAAATGACAGAAATCGCTTACAGAAAAAACAACCGAGGATGGAGAGAATTGCTGATAGCCAATATATTGTTTCAATCGCCCAACCCTATAAATCAGACCGAAGTCGAGTCTCAGACCTCATCAATGCAAAAATGAAGTCCCAAGTCTTGTCAACGCGAGTCTTGAGTCAGATTTCAAGTCAGTAAAAACAAGCCTCAAGTCAACCCCTTGCAAACATCTTGAAGTCAAGTCTCAACATTAAGTATTAAGTCTCAAATTTCAACTCCTTGATGGCAAGTCCAAGTCACATCTCAAGTCTCAAGTCAACTCCAGATTTTCATAATGATTTACATAAGTCTAACTCGAGTCCATGTTTACTGGATCAATCACACCCATATTGATGAATTTGATGCACAATTTTAGTCAGGTCTGTGACGGGAAAATCTAAAAGGCATGTTCTTTCATGTAGTTCATCTATTGTTATTTACCTGATATCTTGCTTTTGCCAATTGCATGTGGGCAGAACAATCTGGCCTGTCAGAAACCAGTCCCTCCATCTCTACTATGGTTTGGTTTTTGGTTATTTAAAGGACCAGTGTGTAGGATTTAGTGCCATCTAGCAGTAAAGTTTTACATTGTAACTAATTGTATACCACTCATGTTGGTATTTGATGTCCTGGGAATAAGAACAGGGTGTGAAGTGTGTAGGAGAAACTACGGTGGCTGTGAAACTTGCGAAAGGCCCAATCTACAGTCATTGTTTAGTTTGTCCGTTCTGAGCTACTGTAGAAACAGTGTGGTTCAACATGGTGGACTCCATGCAAGGTGATGAACATAAACGTTTTTCACACATTTCGCAGCCACCTTAGTTTCTCCTCTGTTGCAGATTGCAACTTCACCTCTAGATACCGCTAGATCCTACACAATGGACTCTTAATAAATAAATAAATAAAATAACCTTAATCTCTGTCAGGTCTCTCCTGGATGGCTCCGACACTATCTCCATCGACACAGCCATGGTTTCCTCGCAGGAGTTTGGCTGCCTGCTGGACATGGTCTACACTGGCAAGCTGCCGATAGGCAAACACAACGTCAGCCGCATTGTTGCCGCTGCAGACAGCCTGCAGATGTTCGACGTGGCTGTTGGCTTCAAAAACGTCCTCACCAGTCTTGTGAGCCAGCATCCCCCAATCCCTGTTCATTCTACACAGAGCCCAAGCCTTACCGTGATCAACAAAACCCAGAGCCTGAAGTGCGAAGGTCCAGCTTCACCCAACAAGGACGGCTCAGATTTAGAGAAGACAGGGCTGAAGGCTGAGCTGAAGAAGGAAAACTGTCAAGGGGACAGACAGGATGACAGTGAAGACCCAGAGGAACCAGCATGTAAAAGGACCTGTGTGGAGCTCTCCGAGTCCTCAGGTCAGTTTCAGCTGCTGTCAAAGGCCTGTTTTAGGGAGTTCAGAAACGTGTTGAAGAAATAAATACACTGAGTTACCAGCTCATTAGGTCCAACCAAAACAGCAACCTGATACTGTCCTAACACTTATTGACTGCATTGTTTTCATATGTTTGTATACACAGAGCCTGAAGAAGTCAAATCCTCAGAAAGTGAGGTGGAAGAAAACAACACGACAGCAGCCACGGTATCCAACGGGTCTGCTGCTGGTCTACTAAAGCATTTCTCCCAGAATATGGAGCTTCTCAGCAGCATGCCGTCTGTCCTGGAGCTGCTGAGCCAGGCAGCACAGAGCAGCCTGGAGGAACAGGAGAGACGGGTAGGACAGGTCACCCCAGTCCTGAAAACTCCTTTTATCCCTACAGTTAAAGGTGGCGTTGTCGTGTTAAAGAGCAAAAGTAATGTTTGTGTTCAGTGTTACTCACCAAAACACACTGAGCCTCATTTAAAACTATGAGCGTTGAAATGTTCTCACTTTGCATAGGCTACAAAGTAAGTGCAGGGAAAGGTGGCAAATAAAGGTACATTTCTGCTCCTGCCAGGTTGTGTGTCAGTGCTGTGAGGAGGCAGATCCTAGCTCAGCGTTGGAGAAGCTGGTGAGCAGAGTGAAGGAGGGGCAGCTCAATGAAGAAGTGCTTCACAGACTGCTCCAGACTGTTCAGCACAATGCTCCTTCCTCCTTCCCCAAACCACTGCTCTCTCTGCTGGAGGAGGCAGAGGGGAACACACAGGAGCCAGAAGGGAACCAAGGTGGAGGTAAAGAAGAGCACTTTGTGACTCAGTGTAAGCGGATTTGTCAACTTTAAGCCTACTACAGTCAAATAAGGCCACCAGTGAGAAGATTGCCTGTTGCTATGTAGTTATTCTTAATGCATGGGTTAGATTTGATCATATTCCGCATGAAATGAAACAAGGAGGTAGAAACATTACCACTTTTGTCCACAGGGGCTGCCAGAATCAACATAGAATGAACGTTCTTTTTAACAAAACGAAAAAGCGCCTGTTTTCAGTTGAGCATTCGCTCAATCTTGCTGCTGTGTGTTGTGGAAATTTCTCTGCTGCTAACAAGAAGATGATAGCTGCAGTAGGTAAGCTAAAACTCAAGACTGGTTGTTTCGTTCAGGCCCAGTGGATTCTTGCAAATGCCATTAGGAGGCACTAGGAGGAGCCAGGAGACCTGATTGTTTTACAGAGTATCTAGTCGTCAAACAGTTGTGTGACTAACATAGCAATTTATGTATGTCCATTGTTATTAAATCCCATCCAGTGATGTAGTATGCCTGGAAAAGAAGTAAAGACCCTTATGCTTCCAACAATGGTCTTTCTCTGTACTTGTATTATTTTTTCATCTCATTGACCTATATTTCTTTTTACAGAGACTTTGAGCATTTATTTACTTATGTCTTTAGGTTCTCTTATTTTTTTTTATCTATTTTTCTCTCACGTTTAACTGAATCTTCCATAAATACTACAGTAAGCTCATGGAGTTCCACAAGGTTCTTACTTGACCATACTATTTACTTTATATTAGTTCCTTTTAGGCAATATTATTAGGATCACTCCTATTAACTTTCAATTGCTATGCAGATTGTAACACAGTTATAGGTCTTCTCGATCAAGCCTGATGAAATTAATCAATTATTTAATTTACAACATTGTTCTTAAGGAATAAATCCTGGATGCACTGCAACTTATTCTGATTTGTTGAAACTTCAGGAAAAAACGGAATTCTTATCTACTTGGCCAAAACCTCAGGAGACTCACTGTCTACAGATATAAGCTACTTCTATGATGGCATTACCTTGGGCTCTACGTGCCACTGGTAATAGGAATCTTGGGAGTTATTCTTTGATCCAGGACTTGGTTTCATTTACAATTCCCACATAAAGCAAACTCCAGACCTACCTTCTTTCATGGTTACATTATACAAATTAAGACATATCCTGTCACGAAGACGGATTGCAGAAAACTAATCCATCGCATTTGTTACTTGGTTAAATGGTCTAATGGACCTGTACTTGTACTGCCCCTTTTCTGTCTTCCGACCACTCCCAAAAAGCGCTTTACACTACGGTGCCACATTCACCCTTTCCACATTTATACACGATTGGGCCAAAGGCCCATCGAACAGAACTAAACTCCAATTCATACCACATTCACACACGATGCATGATCAACAACCTCCGATTAGGGGATGAACCCGCTTACTCTGCGCCCCAAAGGCGCGCCCAAATACAACTTTAGGCTGGATTATTCAACTCTTTATTTCGGTCCCAATAAGTCCATTTAGGCCTCTGGACGCTAACACAATGGAAACCTTCATTGTTACTAATTTCTCTCTCGGATATTAAAATATGCCCACTATTGCATGGTACGCGCGCCCTCGCCTCAGGCTTCGACTCCTGAGGCCTGCAGTCGTGTTATGGTGACAATATAATTCCATTTGTAGTGATTGCTAAAGGCAGGAGGTTAATCATACCTGTTATGTGCCGACTTCTCTATTGTCACCTCTGTGGCTCTCGCTATGTTGTATTCATGTGTTGTGCTCGGCCATGCTAGGTTGAGATGAATACAAATCAGGCGAATTCTAAATATTCGAGTCCTCCTACCTCCTCACCTACAAAAATTGACACTCCTTTCGGCCAGTAGGTGCAGGCCCTTCATATCTTAAAGAGCTGGTCATTAAGTAACTCTGTTAATTTATTATCTCTCTCTAGAGAACAACAATCGCTGTAGGATCTCTATAACATCTTTAATTGCTGTGACTATT